TGACATTGAAGACATAGCTCGGCAAATGCATGGAAGCCTTATAGTAGCTGGTGACTTCAACTCTAGAGCAGAAGAATGGGGCATGCCAACAACCAACAGCAGAGGCCGAAAAATTCTTAATATGTCAGCAAGAGTTGGACTGGTAGTCGCTAACGTGGGCAGAGCTCCGACGTTTCAGCGAATGGGCCAAACAGGCACAATACCGGATATAACGCTAGTGTCAGAGAACTCTGCGCACAGAATATTAGACTGGAAAGTCTTAGACATCTACAATGGAAGCGACCACGAGTACATATCTTTCAGTACTGAAGGAAGTTCGGCTCATCATGTAGGAAATCAAATAAGAACTAGTCACCGATGGAATGTTAACCGACTAAACCAGAACCGCTTAATAGGAGAAATTGACAGGAGTCAAATCGATAGCAATGAGAGAACTAGCGTGGAGAGCGTTGTTAGCAGCACTATGTCCACCATAAAAAGAGCTTGTGATGCTTCTATGCCAAAGTCTGGCAATCCCCACAGGAGAGGAGCAGAGGTGTACTGGTGGACAGACGAGATAAGTGCTTTAAGGGAGACTAGCCTCCGCTATAGGCGTCATCTCACACGAGCTAGGAGAAGCGGAAACTTCGCTACACAGGAGGAGGAGTACAAGAAGGCGAAAAAGCTTCTTAATATTGCCATTCGCATAAGTAAACGAAATAAATGGAAATCCCTCTGTAATGACGTTAACAAGGACCCATGGGGTCTTGGGTACAAACTCGTTATGAAGAAGCTTAGGTCAAGAAGTACTCTGCCAGATATAGACGAAGGGCACATGGACAACATTGTCAAAACTCTGTTTCCGCCTCATCCGATCAGACCAGCTTACACTGCACTGCAGCCGTCTGAGGAACACTTCGAGTTGTTCAGCGAGGATGAATTAACTAAGGCAATAGGCAGCATGAAGAATAGGAAAGCACCAGGACCCGACGATATACCGACCGAAGTTCTCAAAGTCATCGCAAAGAACAGACCCGATGTACTATTAAATATGTACAACAAGTGCCTGCAGCATGGAATATTCCCCGATCCGTGGAAGACTCAGAGGTTGGTCTTGATAAGCAAAGGAAAGGGGGACCCTGCAACCCCATCAGCCTATCGACCGCTCTGCATGCTAAACACGACTGGGAAGCTACTGGAAAAGCTGATCAAGCCCCGACTAGTTGCTGCTGTCGAGGTATCAGGCGGCCTCTCCCGCAGGCAATACGGGTTCCGACCAGGGAGGTCCACAATCGGAGCAATACAGGAAGTCGTTAATGCAGCACTGGCCAGCCAAGTGGGCAACCATGCATCCAGACCCATTGTGCTTTTGGCGACACTAGACGTCAAAAATGCGTTTAATAGTGTCAGGTGGTCGGACATGATCGATTCGCTAAACAGACGTTTCCACATCCCAGAATACCTGATGCGGCTAATAGACAGCTATCTACAGAATCGAAAACTGATTTATCTGACAAGAGGAGGCGAAAAACGGATGGACATCACCTCGGGTGCAGCTCAAGGATCCATACTAGGACCGGAACTGTGGAATATCAGTTATGACGATATCCTCAGCACAGAAATGCCTGACGACGCATTTCTCGTGGGATATGCGGATGACATAGTCGCAGTGATTCCAGCACGCAATATTGAGTACGCCCAACGAATTCTAAATCAAGTAATGATCCGTGTAAACGAATGGATGGACTCTCGTGGCTTACAGCTGGCCTCAGAAAAAACTGAGCTGTTGCTAGTCACCAGAAAGCAGATGCCACTAGAAATAGAATTAAGGCTCACTGAGACAACTATTCGGACACAGAAGTCAATAAAGTACCTTGGGGTCAGGCTGGACTCTAAACTGACCTTCGGACCTCAAATTAATAACGCTAGAACCAAGGCTGCAGAGACAACAAAATCTCTTAGTAGACTTATGGCAAACATCGGTGGACCAATACCATCTAGACGAAAGCTGTTGATGAATACAAACAACTCCATTCTTCTTTATGGATGTGAAGTGTGGGCTGATTCGTTAAAAACAAATTGCAGACTGAAGACTTTGTTGGCTATACAAAGAACCTCAGCCTTACGTATAATTAGCGCATATCGCACGGTGTCGTGTGCTGCAGCACTCGTCTTAGCATGCGTGATCCCGATAGACCTGCTAGCGAAAGAACGCAAGAGCCTCTACGACCTCCGACAAACTGGAGAAGCATCTAGACAATCGATTCTGGCCCTAAGAAGAGAGACCATCAATATCTGGCAAGAAAGATGGGAACGCGAAGGCACTGGAAGATGGACAAGAAGACTTATCCCCGACCTTAAAAGCTGGGTGGAGAGACGACACGGTGATGTAGACTACTACGTCACCCAAGTGCTCACAGGTCACGGTTATTTTAGTTTCTTTCTAAACAAGATGGGCAAAAGCACGGAAGCCAGTTGTATTTACGCTGATGCGGAAGCCGACAACGCAGAACACACAGTGTTCTATTGTACCAAATTCGCGCAGCAACGAAATATTCTGTCACGAGCGATTGGACAGATAACGCCGGAAACTATAGTCGCCAAGATGTGCGAAAGCGAAGAGAACTGGAGAGCAGTAGCCGGTTTTATCGGAGACATTCTGCGCTTGAAGAAATTAGACCTTGATGCAAGGGTATAAAAAGGGCAGGCTGGACGCAGACCATCAGACGGGCTCTGGGGATCGCCTCTCCTTGGGTGCCAATGGATATCTTCTACGGTATATATTGGCATTTAAGTAGAGGCGAGCCTTAGAGCTTTGTATGAGTAGATGAACGCGCATCGCGCGCAAGAGGCCCCACTTTGAAGTAATGCGGAAGCTTTTCCGAAGTGGATACAGGCCTGATGAGGAGGGGTTTTTAGTGGGTGCAAGCCCCACATACCACACATACGACGGTAGTGTGAGATGCAGAAGGCATTTTCCCAAATTAAAAAAAAAAAAAAAAAAATTATTATTATTATTATGGGACCGGGAGCTGTTTCTGCATGGCAAAGTGTCTGGTTGGCTTTAACATGGCAAAGCCCAGCATGATCCATGCAGAACTGCTTCAAGTATCTCACCGCCTCCACGTGGCGGTCCCGGGATCTTGTATCTCTGTCAACCGACAGGGTACTTGCTAAGGTGAGAAGGCGGCTTTTAAATCCCGTTCGCGTCTGTTCCCGAAGAGGGCGGCGTCTGGGTTAGCGTCTGTCCCATATTGGGCGGCTACATAATTGTCTTTTTGCAGATCGGCAGACACTAAAGAAGGTCCCCCGCTGATGACAGCGGCATTCCAACACCTGAGTACCCAGATTGAAACCCTGGTTAAATGGCTGCTGGGCTAATGCTGAAGTTACCTCCGTCCTTTTAAAACTTGGCGAGTCTTTAAATACGTTCTAATCACATCATCGCGGAACCGATGGTACAGGTGCAGTTGAGACAACTCCTGCTTAACATCCGTCCTGGCTCTGAACGCAGGTACCCATAAGGACCTGCGTCAACCCTCGCATGAACCTCACTGCTTGCATAGGGACCCATGGGGGCATCGTGGAGGACTGTACATATGTGAGGAGATAGCGACTTAAAGTTTGGACCCATATAGCATGCAGAACAATAGAAAACCCCAAGAAGAAGAGAGAGGAGCATTCCAGAAGAGTAGAAAAATGATGAGGTCGCCAGATCAAGGCGTTACAGAAGAAGGAAAGTCGGCGCAAGTGGTTCATCTGGAGGAACAACCAAACCCATCTACGGCAATACTGCACGAGGATCAGCAAACCCCTGCTTCGACCCAAGATGTCAGACCTGCGGTAGGTTCCCCAAGACAAGAGCTCATCTATAAAATGAGAGCACTAGAAGAGGAAACGATCGAGAAATGCAGAGCAGTGCTTCGAAAAATGAAGCATGCGATGCTAAAGCAGCGAAACATCAGTATGGATGTGAAAGACGGAGCGTCAGAACTGAGCGAACTCCTTGATATTGTCGGAAACTACAGGAAAAGCTGGTTGACAGCCGAAACAGAGAGAGTCAAGGAAACGAACTTAGCGGCTGAAGCCAACAAACAGCTGCAGGAAACTGACACACCAGTTTCGTCCCGCAAAAAGCGGACTGCTTCTAGCCCGGCCGAGCCAGAGGCATTTAAAAAGCCGAAAAGTAAGGAAGCGAAGGACGGCTTTAAAACAGTGACTCGGAAGAAGGGAAAACCCAAAACATCTCAAACAGAGGAAACGAACAAAGCTGTTAATGTTAACCCTGAGAGGAAAGGAGAAAACTCTAAAGTACGGTCAAGATCCCGCCCAGAAGCTGTTTTGGTCAAGCCCGCAGAAGGCAGGAGCTACGCCGAGGTATTGAGGGAACTTAGGGAAAACTTGAAGCCTGACGAGACCGATACAGCCATCCGCTCAGTCAGGAAAACCAAGTCAGGGGATTTGCTTCTCGAGTTAGCAAAAGGAAGTAAGTCTGAGAAGCTTTGCGAAAGCATTAAGCACACGCTCAAAGAAAATGCCACAGTGAGGACTATCAGGCCGTTGAGCAAGTTGGAGATACGAGACCTAGACAGTCTGACAAACGAGGAGGAAGTCATAACTGCAATCAAGTTCATTATAGGCGAGCAGAGTCAGGAAGTCAAAGTGAGACTAACTGGCGCAAACAATTCTGAGCAAAAACGTGCATTCGTTATATTGCCAACAGAAGAAGCAGCTAAAATTCTTAAGGAGCCAAGAATCAAGATTGGATGGACGCGATGCCGAGTGAAACGGTGCATCGAAGTTACACGCTGCTTCAGATGCTTTGGGGTAGGCCACCTACAAAGGGATTGCTCGGGACCAGACAGGAGAGATCTCTGTATTAGGTGTGGAGAGACGGGGCACAAGATGAGAAACTGCACGAAGACACCGAAATGTTGCCTGTGTGCATATGAAAACCGCACGGATCTCAATCATTTCCCTGGGACGAGTAACTGCGCAGCCAGTACCCGCAAAACCCAAATATGAAAATCCTACAAGCAAACCTTCACAGAAGCCGTATAGCAGATGACCTGCTGTCCCAAATAGTACTGGAACATTGCGTGGATTTGGTTATAATCTGCGAACAATATAGAGTGAAACAACCCGGTATCTGGCTGGAAAATGAAGATAAGACTGCAGCTATATGGATCCCAGCTACGGGTGACATACGATGTCTCGGCGATGGCAGAGGTAGCTGCTACGTATATGTACAACTTAAGGAATTCACCATATTCAGTTGTTATCTAACCCCGAACGATACAATAGAAGCTTTCCAACATAAAATCGATGACATTGAAGACATAGCTCGGCAAATGCATGGAAGCCTTATAGTAGCTGGTGACTTCAACTCTAGAGCAGAAGAATGGGGCATGCCAACAACCAACAGCAGAGGCCGAAAAATTCTTAATATGTCAGCAAGAGTTGGACTGGTAGTCGCTAACGTGGGCAGAGCTCCGACGTTTCAGCGAATGGGCCAAACAGGCACAATACCGGATATAACGCTAGTGTCAGAGAACTCTGCGCACAGAATATTAGACTGGAAAGTCTTAGACATCTACAATGGAAGCGACCACGAGTACATATCTTTCAGTACTGAAGGAAGTTCGGCTCATCATGTAGGAAATCAAATAAGAACTAGTCACCGATGGAATGTTAACCGACTAAACCAGAACCGCTTAATAGGAGAAATTGACAGGAGTCAAATCGATAGCAATGAGAGAACTAGCGTGGAGAGCGTTGTTAGCAGCACTATGTCCACCATAAAAAGAGCTTGTGATGCTTCTATGCCAAAGTCTGGCAATCCCCACAGGAGAGGAGCAGAGGTGTACTGGTGGACAGACGAGATAAGTGCTTTAAGGGAGACTAGCCTCCGCTATAGGCGTCATCTCACACGAGCTAGGAGAAGCGGAAACTTCGCTACACAGGAGGAGGAGTACAAGAAGGCGAAAAAGCTTCTTAATATTGCCATTCGCATAAGTAAACGAAATAAATGGAAATCCCTCTGTAATGACGTTAACAAGGACCCATGGGGTCTTGGGTACAAACTCGTTATGAAGAAGCTTAGGTCAAGAAGTACTCTGCCAGATATAGACGAAGGGCACATGGACAACATTGTCAAAACTCTGTTTCCGCCTCATCCGATCAGACCAGCTTACACTGCACTGCAGCCGTCTGAGGAACACTTCGAGTTGTTCAGCGAGGATGAATTAACTAAGGCAATAGGCAGCATGAAGAATAGGATGAAAGAATAGGACCCGACGATATACCGACCGAAGTTCTCAAAGTCATCGCAAAGAACAGACCCGATGTACTATTAAATATGTACAACAAGTGCCTGCAGCATGGAATATTCCCCGATCCGTGGAAGACTCAGAGGTTGGTCTTGATAAGCAAAGGAAAGGGGGACCCTGCAACCCCATCAGCCTATCGACCGCTCTGCATGCTAAACACGACTGGGAAGCTACTGGAAAAGCTGATCAAGCCCCGACTAGTTGCTGCTGTCGAGGTATCAGGCGGCCTCTCCCGCAGGCAATACGGGTTCCGACCAGGGAGGTCCACAATCGGAGCAATACAGGAAGTCGTTAATGCAGCACTGGCCAGCCAAGTGGGCAACCATGCATCCAGACCCATTGTGCTTTTGGCGACACTAGACGTCAAAAATGCGTTTAATAGTGTCAGGTGGTCGGACATGATCGATTCGCTAAACAGACGTTTCCACATCCCAGAATACCTGATGCGGCTAATAGACAGCTATCTACAGAATCGAAAACTGATTTATCTGACAAGAGGAGGCGAAAAACGGATGGACATCACCTCGGGTGCAGCTCAAGGATCCATACTAGGACCGGAACTGTGGAATATCAGTTATGACGATATCCTCAGCACAGAAATGCCTGACGACGCATTTCTCGTGGGATATGCGGATGACATAGTCGCAGTGATTCCAGCACGCAATATTGAGTACGCCCAACGAATTCTAAATCAAGTAATGATCCGTGTAAACGAATGGATGGACTCTCGTGGCTTACAGCTGGCCTCAGAAAAAACTGAGCTGTTGCTAGTCACCAGAAAGCAGATGCCACTAGAAATAGAATTAAGGCTCACTGAGACAACTATTCGGACACAGAAGTCAATAAAGTACCTTGGGGTCAGGCTGGACTCTAAACTGACCTTCGGACCTCAAATTAATAACGCTAGAACCAAGGCTGCAGAGACAACAAAATCTCTTAGTAGACTTATGGCAAACATCGGTGGACCAATACCATCTAGACGAAAGCTGTTGATGAATACAAACAACTCCATTCTTCTTTATGGATGTGAAGTGTGGGCTGATTCGTTAAAAACAAATTGCAGACTGAAGACTTTGTTGGCTATACAAAGAACCTCAGCCTTACGTATAATTAGCGCATATCGCACGGTGTCGTGTGCTGCAGCACTCGTCTTAGCATGCGTGATCCCGATAGACCTGCTAGCGAAAGAACGCAAGAGCCTCTACGACCTCCGACAAACTGGAGAAGCATCTAGACAATCGATTCTGGCCCTAAGAAGAGAGACCATCAATATCTGGCAAGAAAGATGGGAACGCGAAGGCACTGGAAGATGGACAAGAAGACTTATCCCCGACCTTAAAAGCTGGGTGGAGAGACGACACGGTGATGTAGACTACTACGTCACCCAAGTGCTCACAGGTCACGGTTATTTTAGTTTCTTTCTAAACAAGATGGGCAAAAGCACGGAAGCCAGTTGTATTTACGCTGATGCGGAAGCCGACAACGCAGAACACACAGTGTTCTATTGTACCAAATTCGCGCAGCAACGAAATATTCTGTCACGAGCGATTGGACAGATAACGCCGGAAACTATAGTCGCCAAGATGTGCGAAAGCGAAGAGAACTGGAGAGCAGTAGCCGGTTTTATCGGAGACATTCTGCGCTTGAAGAAATTAGACCTTGATGCAAGGGTATAAAAAGGGCAGGCTGGACGCAGACCATCAGACGGGCTCTGGGGATCGCCTCTCCTTGGGTGCCAATGGATATCTTCTACGGTATATATTGGCATTTAAGTAGAGGCGAGCCTTAGAGCTTTGTATGAGTAGATGAACGCGCATCGCGCGCAAGAGGCCCCACTTTGAAGTAATGCGGAAGCTTTTCCGAAGTGGATACAGGCCTGATGAGGAGGGGTTTTTAGTGGGTGCAAGCCCCACATACCACACATACGACGGTAGTGTGAGATGCAGAAAGCATTTTCCCCCTCAAAAAAAAAAAAAAAAAAAAAATTATTATTATTATTATTATTATTATTATTATTATTATTATTATTATTATTATTATTCCCGCAGGGGCACCCACAACCGGGTGACGGGCTTGACATACCCGCGGTCCCCCAGTCACGGCAAGACACTGGAACGATAAATTGACTTACGATTGTGCACACAAAAGACGATTTGATGATATCGGGCTTGACGAATGCAGCATTCTGACACCTTAGTACGCAAGAGTGACATTTTGGAGAAACGGCTATCGGGATAATGTTACGTTCGCCTCCGTCCAGTTAAAACTTAGCAAGTCTCTCCGTACGTTCAAATCACATCGCCGTTGACTCGGCGGTACAGGTGCAGTTGAAATGATTCCTGCTTCGCGTCTGTCCTGGCTCTGAACACAACCGCCCATGAAGCTTTGTGTCAACCCTCGCATGGACCTCACTGCTTGCATAGGGACCCATGGGGACATTTTGGACAACTGTACATAGGTGAGGAGATAGCGGCGTAGAGTTTGGACCCACTTATGCAAGATGACAACCCAATTAACACCAAACAATATGGAAGAAGCTTTCCGGAAGAGCAACTTGATGGGTAGGTCACCCCAAGGAAACACGACCATTGAAAGGAAGGAAAATAATGAACTTGCTGAACAGAACACTCCGAAAAAAGGAAAGGATTCCGAAGCACCACAGCAGATTGACCTTCAAACTCCTGCTACACACAGGAAAGAGACAGCACCGACAACACAGCGAAGCTCCCCGCGACAGGAACTAATATACAAGATGAGAACATTAGAGGAAGAATCTCTGACCAAGTGCAAGGCAATAATAAGGAAGATGAAGCATGCGATGCAAAAACAAAGAAATATCAGCATGGAAGTTAAGGACGGTACAGCTGAACTCACGGAGCTTCTCGATGTAATAGAAAGCTACAGAGCGAGCTGGAAGAAAGCTGAAATCGAAAAACTAAATGACATGAGTAAGGCAATACCGAAGGCCTTGAAGATAGTCGATACCCCGCTATCGTCAACCCAAAAGAGAGCAGCTACCAGCCCAGCATTACAGAACGCAAGCAAAAAAGGCAGAGATAAAGAATCAAATGATGGCTTTCAAATGGTAACTAACAAAAAACGGAAAAAAGAGGCAAAATCGGATGAACGAAATATAAAAAGAGACGTTAATGGTGAAAAGAGAGATAAACCTAGGACAAAATTAAGATCTCGACCAGATGCTGTGCTAGTAAGGCTAACTGAAGGAAAGAGCTATGCACAGGTTCTGAGGGACCTACGAATTAGCGTGAAACCAGAAAAAGATGTCAGCAATATCCTGTCGATAAGAAAAACAAGATCAGGTGACATGCTCCTAGAACTGTCCAGAGGAAGCAAAGCCGAATTATTATGCGAGACTATCAAGACCACGCTCAAGGGTGATGCAACGGTTAGGACCATGAAACAGCAAACCAAACTGGAAATTCGAGATATTGATAGTATTACAGAGGAAAGCGAGATCATTTCCGCAATTAAAACCGGGATAGGAGATACTACCGAAGAAATCAGAATTAATCTGACTGGAGTAAATAGCTCGGAGCAACGACGAGCCTTCGTTACCTTAGCGACAGAAGATGCAGCGAAAATACTGAAGGACCGAAGAATCAGGATTGGCTGGACCCTGTGTCGAGTAAAAGAATGCATCGACACTATGCGATGCTTCAAATGCTTTAGAGGGGGACACACGCAAAGGGACTGTAAGGGGCCAGATCGAAGAAACCTATGTATCAGATGCGGAGAGGCTGGGCACAAAATAAAAGAATGCAAAAACCCAGTAAGATGTTGTATTTGCGCAGAGGAAAAAAGGAAAGAGTTAAACCACCTTCCGGGGACAAACAAATGTCATAGCGGCGCAAGTAAAAGCAGAGAATGAAAGTCCTACAAGCAAATATGCACAGAAGCAGAACGGCCAATGATCTGCTGCTCCAAATAGCATTGGAGCATCATGTAGATCTAGCCATTATCAGCGAACAATACAAAACTCGGGAGGACGGTCTGTGGATAGAAGATGAGACGAAAACCGCGGCTTTATGGATCCCAGTATTCAGCACCATTACACACCATACCCCCATTAGACGGAATTGTTACGTATCAGCACAAGTTGCGGACTGGACCATTATTAGCTGCTACCTAACACCCTCCGATGACATTACGACTTTCCAAAGAAAACTCGAAGATATCGAAGATGCTGCCAAGCAAGCTCAGGGAAAAGTCCTATTAGCAGGTGACTTTAACTCAAGAGCGGAAGAATGGGGCATGTCATCAACCAACTCCAGAGGCAGAAAAATTCTAAACATGGCGGCAAGGCTGGGAATGGTAGTTGCAAACATAGGATCAACCGCTACATTTAGACGACCAGGAAATGAAGGAACAATCCCGGACATAACGCTAGTGACGGAAGAAATGGCAAACAAGGTTGCCGAATGGAAAGTATTAGAGATCTTTAACGGAAGCGATCACGAGTATATATCCTACAAGCTGACACAAGGCGATCAAAATCGTTCTGAAAATCGCCTTAGCCTAGGAAAAAAGGGATGGAACGTAAATAGACTGAGCAAAACAACTCTCATCAACGAAATTGATAGAAAAGCTAATACTATACGGCAAAACGACGAGAATATAGTCAACGACACTATGTCAATTATAAAAAAAGCGTGCAACGCCGCAATGCCAAAACGGGGAAACCCACACAGGCAAGGTCAAGAAGCATACTGGTGGACAAATGAAATAAAAATCTTAAGAGAGAAATGCCTTAAAACTAGACGCCGCTTCACCCGAGCAAGATGTAGAGGAATATTTACTACCCAGGAGCAGGAGTACAAAAAAGCTAAGAAGGATCTTAATATTGCTATCCGGAAATCCAAGATTAATAAATGGAAGTGCCTTTGCAATGATGTCAACTCTGACCCATGGGGACTAGGCTACAAAATCGTCATGAAGAAACT